GGGAAGCTATGATGTTTGCAAAGATTTCTGCTAGCTTCTTGCGTGCCTGGTCACGGCGGCGGTGAGCTGGGATGGGAAGGTATGGGAGGATAACACTAATAGGAAGCATCCCATTGTCAAGGTCATGGAACAAGGCAGAAACATCAGCAAAGAGCTTGTCACGAACTTCTCGGCCCAAAAGACATCTGCTGGCTGTTAGGATAATCAGATGCTCTAGCTCATCCTTCAGGTCCACCTCGCCGCTGTCACCCCACTTGGAGAAGTAATCCTGCGAAATGCTAGTGTGAATGGAAAGAATTAAAACCATGAATCTCCTCCATTAGATATGAATAACAGTGAAGAATACAAGACGAATTAAAAATTTCTAAATAACTGGACCACTGGTTGTGTCTTTAGTCAGGAATTAAACTATGAAAACGTAAAACACCAACTCATTAAGCGAAGATCATGCAACTAAATGTGCGTTTATGAGGAGCATACTGTGAATTGCTAGCAATGTGGCTGGTTATCGTTCATGCTTGAACCGAACATGAAAAGTATAAAGTATAGCTTAATCACATGAAAAGATAGATTACAGAATTATTGTTGACAACTTAATGGTACGTTAAGATTAATTCTAGTAAGCCTTAACAGGAAAATAACTTTACATTTTCAGCTTCTCGAGGTTTTATATAATTTGTGTTTCGAGCCGAATGAGTCGTCTAGCACAATTGGCTGGATTTTGTATATTTAAAAATATTAGTTGAAATGGCGTTTTTCAATCAATCACCATTCCTGGCACAATTTACTAGGTTTTATTGTTGCCATGTAGCAAAGCCTTGGCTTAAAAAGTAACACTCTACCAAGAAAAAAACTCAATGAGCTAACTAACACTTAAAACAACAAAATATTACGAATACATTCGCTCCAAGTTCTCACCTCTGCTTCCGTAACCATCTGATCCACATAACCCTTGAGTTTATTGACTCTGAGAGCCTCCGTGAAGAAGCGGAACTGCTCCTGGCGGACTGAGTAATCGACGTCAAAGACGACCCCGGGTCCAAAAGTCGGCACATTGAACTGGTATACCTCCTGCTGGCTAAGATCAGACTCGGGGGCCTTGAAGAAGTGGGCCGAAACCTCATGGCCAATCAGGAAAGTTATCCTCTTGTGAAAAATGTTCACAGTGAACACACTACCAAGCTTGGGAAACTCTTCACGGAGCATCACAACCGGACCTTTTATGAATCGGAGAAGTCCCCCAACGAGAGGCCAAGTCCTCACCACCGGAGGGAGCCGCTTCTTAGATCGCGGCATTATAAGCACAGAGATGAGCTTGGCCACCACTAGAGTGGCCACTATGAGCAGGCCCGTATTCAACAACTTGTTATCAACATCCATCCTTAGGTGATTCTGATTGAATTATGGGGGACCCAACTGAAAATTTTCACCGAAACAGGAAAATCAGCTAAGCAAATCAATCACATTTTGTAATTAGAAATTACCATAAATTCTAACAATCACAACTCGCACAAAAAGAAAAAAAAAAAAAA